ATATATGTATAGATATATTAATATATATAGATATATGTGTATATATTGATATGTATATATTTAAATGTATGTATATGTATATATGAATATATGTATTATATGTATATATGTATTATATATATGTGCTTTAGTAACTTAAAAATCCTGTTGTTAAAAAGGACTGCATGTACTATCTGCAAAGGATATTTTGTCAGTGACTCCACAAATGCCCTTTCTTTTTGTATATATTGCTTTATATCTTATGAGTCACTTTACAAGCATGATAATTGCTGTACCAGTATTAGCAGAGCAGTCTCTAAGACCTTAAATCTCACAGTTTATCCATGTAGCCTCTAGATAAATTCATAGGACTGATAAAGTGTCATCATTTTTAATAGTGTGTGAATATCATCAACTACATAAGTGCTATGTTGCTTTTGTAGTTACGTGTTTGATTGTCATGATGCCCTTGTGTGAATGATCAAGATTTAGTTTACTCTGTTGTTTAATGATTCAGGTTCATGTGTAAAAGTTATACTGCAGTTCAAGGTTTGGTATAATTTGCATTTATCATTATATTAACCTATTGGATCCATTTGTGTCATGGAAATCACAGGGCTGAAAATACGGGCAGTGGGTTATGTAAGTAGCTAATATCCCAGCCGTGCAGCGTGTATGCCAAGTGCAGACAAACACTCATGAACGGTTACAAGACTCTGTGCTTCTCTTTTGCAAGGTTGTTTTTAAACTTGTCATTTTATGTCTTTTGGTTTGCTTTATCCACATGCTAATACATTAATTTCCGTGTACAGACTCCATATCATCTGTCTGTGTTGTAAATAACTTGATGTAAGAAGAAAAAAGAAAGAAAGATTTGCTTATTTGTGTCATATATCTGCACTGCCGGTTACAGTGGCCAGGAATACGTTGCTGAATATGGAAATGGTATTGCTCCTGGAGTCAAGGGCTCTTCCAGACACAGCTTATACACATTACATTCCACACTCATTTATTAATGGAAATAATGCAAAAGCCCCCTCCTAAATGCTAAATGAGTCAAATCACATTCCAAGAGGTTTGTGCACTTGTGGCAAGTCTTTTACGTCACTCTGGTCTTCACTCATGATGGCAAGTTTGTGTAACCTGGCCCTCTGCCATTTTGTCCAATGACAGCATGTTCATGTCACCTGGCCCTCGACCCAGTTTTTTCCATGATGGGACGATCACGTCACCCGGATTGTACGAGTTATGAAGATACTTTGTCATAGATATTTATTTATCTGCTTATCTATTTATGAATTTATAAGTTCTCAATCATAGAGATTGGCATGGTGGAGAATGCTGTATTACAGTTTTGGTGCAAAAGTTTTTTGTGATTAAAAAGTGTTCAGTGCCTAAAGTTTCCTCTTTACAGTTATATCTGCTTGGAGTTTAGTTAGTCTATGTGTTGTTTCACAGTATAAGAAAATTTTGCAATATATGTGTTCTGATTTTTAGTACAATCAGATAAAATTATCAAAATCTATTCAGTAACTTATTCACATGTTTAATGGTACAACAATACTTACCAGATGGAGTATTTCATAACTACCGGGATGGACTTTTTTCTGTTCTTTCCTTTTCCAGCTCTTCCCACATTTATTTTTTGTATTCATTCTCCTAGTGTCTTCATTTCCATGTTTCTGCTGTTTTCTCCTTCCATGTCAATTTTGATGAATTGTGGAATTTTATATAATCATTACTTATGGTGGATGAATTTCAGTGTGACAGATTCCTTTGGAAGCCTCACATGTCTTCATTAACAGGAATATACTGAAAAAAATAATTGTGTCAGAATATAGATGTGTGTATCTAAGGTAGAGACTGCTCACTTTAGTATGATAGCTACAATTTTTTATTCCATTTATTGAAATTAATAGATTAAAGGAAGTACTTGTCATTCATTAGCTTGAAAAATATACAGTTGTTATTATCTTTATCCAGTACATAAAATAGCTAGGTCATTCTTTGAACTTTGGTAGCATTTTTTAGCACTAAGGATGACTGATTATCTTCCCAGACACTGCTCAATCTCGAACCCTTCCACGTGGATACTCTTCTCCAAGTCTCTGAGATCTTCCGGTTAGGTGATGACTCTGCAATGGCTGCAATGTTGATTGAGAGAGCCCTGTATGTTTTGGAGTCTTCTAGCCATCCAATGTTTAATATTGCTACTGGAGCTTGTAGGCTGCAGTATCGGCAGCAGGAAAACAGGTGTGGTATTTTTCCAACTTTTCTGTTGATTCTTATTATTAACTTTTAGTTTACTTATGTATTTCTGTTATAT